CGCGCGAAAAAAATTAACAGAAGAAAATTATGGAAAACTACATTTCTACATTTCTAGATGGTTACAATTAAACAAATTGAAGGAGATTGGGGAAGGCAAGTGGGGAAGGATTGGGTGGAGTGGGGAGGGATTGGGTGTGGTGGGGTGTTGAGGGGTAGGGGTTAAATTTTTTATTTAATTTTGTAATTAAATTTTAAATTTTTTTAAAAATAAAATTTAATTAGAGGTTTTAAAAATTTATAATTAAAAAAATAAGAGATTAATAATTTAATATAATATATATAGAGATTTTACATGAAAAATTTTGATAAATTTTTTTGTATAAGTTAGATGAAAAATAATTAAAATTAAATATTATATTTTGATTGTGTTATATATTAATTTATAATTTTGTATCTGAATTTTTTTTTTGTTTTGATATTTATATTATTGTCAATTCTTTTAATATTAGATTAATTTTTGTTGTTTTTGTGTAATTATTGAAGATTGTATTTATTATATAATTATTGAAAGTTATTTGTGATAAAAAAATTTATATCAATTAGTGTATCAAAAAGATTAAGTTATTTAATAAATTTAGCATTTTATGATCTATTACTCTTACTAAGATTAAAAACTAAAAAATAGAAAATATAGGTTTGAAAATTTTATTAAAATATAAGTTTGAAAATTTTTAATTTTTAAAATTATTTTAGATAAAATCTAATTAGAGGGATTGAAGATTTATAATTAAAAAAAAATTAAGGGATTAATAATTTAATATAATATATATATTTTAGATGAAAATTTTTGATAAATTTTTTTGTATAAGTAGACAAAAATTAATTAAAATTAAATATTATATTTTGATTGTGTTATATATTAATTTATAATTTTGTATATGAAATTTAATAAATTTTTTTGTTGTTTTGATATTTATATTGTTGTCAATTCATTTTATATTAGATTAATTCTTGTTATTTTTGTGTAATTATTGAAGATTATATTTATTATATAATTATTGAAAGTTATTTATGATAAAAAAATTTATATATATTAGTGTATCAAAAAGATTAAGTTATTTAATAATATTCTTAAGATTAAAAACTAAAAATTAAAAAATTTAGTGTAAAATCAATTTTTAATGATGTAATAAGTAATATTAATATTTCTAAATATAAGTTTATTTTGTTTTTATTTAAAATAGCAAGTATCCCACCATGTGAGGAGTTTTCGAGTAAAAGAGTAGAGAGCGCGCCAAGTGATGATATAGGTTAACATTTTAAAACACCTGTACCAAATACAAAAGGAAATGTTTCATGTAAACTTTGTGTTAAAATTGTAAAAAAAGGAATAACACGTTTCAAAGAACATATTGCTCATAAAACTGGCAATGTTGCACCATGCCCCAACATTATTGGTATGTTATGTTTTTATAATTTCTTTAAAAATATTATTGTTAATTTCTTAATAAAAATTATAAAATTACATAAGAATGTGTAACTAATTTTCTTTTTTTTTTTTAACTATATTATTAATAGGTATAGTATAGTAAGAGAAAGTATAATGAAACTCCTTCAAGATAGCAAATCAAAAAAAGTTGACAACAAAATGAGAAAAAATGAATTTTTATCACAATTAAGAGGGAAAGATGATTACGAAGGATTTATTGATGAAGACATTGCTACTAGACAAGCTCTGCGAGATAGTATCCAATCACAACATGAGTGGCACATAAAATAAGAATTCAAACAAAGAACTAGTGGTTGGAGTAACACATATGAAGAGGGACAAAGCTTTCATGGCTCAGTTGCTGAATATTTTGAAGAAAAAACAAAGAAATCAACTCCAAATGAGTCTGAATTTTCATTAATGGGAGCTATACCTGAATTGGTTAGAAGTAAGAGTTCAAAGCAACCAAAAGTAAGTGATTCATTTTTAAAGACATTAAGAAGAAAGACGGGTGAATCAGTATCAAAATTTTTGATATATGATCGACTTCCTGTTCAGTTAGCAAATTCTCCATGGTTGCATAATTTGATTTCAATGGCAGCAGAAGTTGGCCAACATGTAAAACTTTTAACACCTTATGAGGTCTAGATGTGTATTTAGAGTCTGAGATTAACAAGTTCATGAATGGGTTAATGGATTAAAAGCTCATTAGAATGAATTGGGTATCACTTTGATGTGTGATGGTTGGACCAATAGTTTGAATCAAATACATATCATTAATTTTCTTGTTTACTGTAGTAAGGGACCATTTTTTGAAAATTTGTAGATGTCTCAAGTGTTCGTAGTAGAGATGTAAACTTTTACTATAGATTGTTAGATGAAATTGTGAAAGAAATTGAAAAAAAATACATTGTTCAAATAGTTATTGATAACGAGGCAGCACTTAAGGCTGTAGGAAAAAGACTAATGGATAAGAGAAAGCATTTGTATTGGACAGCATATTCAGCTCATTGTTTGGATTTGTGCCTTAAAGATATTGGGAAGAAAAAATGTGGCAAAGGTTTTGGATGATGCAAAGAAAGTGACTTATTTTTTATACAGTCACATTTGGATTGTTAATTTGATGAAAAAATATACACAAGGGAAGTAAATACTTCATCTTGCTCTTACCTGATTTGCCACTCATTTCATACTGTTATAAGAAATAATGAGGCAAAAACAAGGTTTGAAAGAGATGTTCAATTCAAAGGTTAGTACTTAATAATTAGTACAACTATTTAAATTTAGCATCTTTTTATGATATCATTGTTTAAAATATTAATTTAAAATATATTACTCTAAAAATTTATTGATGAATATATATATGAATTTAAAGATTCAAAATAGGGACAACAAAAATCAGGACTTGTTTATGAAGCCAAAAAAATCATTTTGGAAAAAGATGTTTGAAAAAAAGCAGGTGATATAATAAAAGTTTATAAGCTTTTAGTGAAAGTGTTGCGTATTGTGGATGGTGATGAAAAACCAACAATGGGCTTTATTTATGAGGCTGTGGATAGAGCTAAACAAGCAATTCAGCAAAATTATCGTTATTTTGCTGAATATAAAAAGATTATTGATAATAGATGGAGTTTCATGCACTTTGACTTGCATTCAGCTGGTAAATAAACCAAGAATATATATATATATGGTATTTAAAAAATATGTTTATTTTTTATACTTAAATTGCTTATATATTTATTTTTATTACTTTAATATAATATTGTTATAAATTATATTTAGGTTACTATCTAAATCCAAAATTTCAATTTAGAGTGAAACATTCTGCAAATGTATTTAAAGAAACATTAGAAGGCATAAAAACAGCTATTAAAATATTAGAACCTTTGATAAATACTCAAATCAAGATAATTAATCAGGTTAGTATTTAATACTATTTTATAACTTTAACATTTATTTTATGTATTACAAATTGAATTATTTTTTATTTATTCATTTATTATTGTATTTTCAATCGATGTAATTATTATTATTTCGAGATAAGCATGAAACATTTGGTACTCCACAGGTACGAAGAGCTTGGAAGCAAATGAATTTAGGTAAATAGTAAATTAAATAATTATAATTTATTTATATTATTTAATTATATAGTATATTCAAATTTAATTTAAATAATTTTATACAGCTAAGCAGTGAATGATATATGGTGCTTGTGTTTCTGAATTACAAAAACTAGCAATCAAAGTGCATAATCAAACAACATCTGCATCAAATTGTGAACGTAATTGGAGCACATTTAGCTATATTCACACCAAAGCAAGAAACATATTAAAGTTTGTAAGACTTCAAAAACTTGTATATGCCTATTATAACATGAGGCTGAGGATGAGACATCAAAAAAGAATAAGCATTGATGAGATAAATAATAGTTTTAATCCTATTAGCCTTGACCATATTTTTTAAGATGATGATCCATTAACATAATAGCTGCAAGAGAAAGAAAATCTTCTGTTAGATGATCAAAACTCTGATTGATTACCCACAGATAATTCTGATAATGAAATGAATGTGAAACAATCATGCCAATCTCAAGAAAGGAATGTGTCTCATTCAAGCTCAAGTCTAACACCAAGTCAGAGTGATGATGGTGGTGGTTTAAATCCAAATGATGGTAATGGTGATGATGATGGTGATGTGATGAATTTTAATGATAATATGAATGTAAATCGATCTTACAGCCTACTTGGAGAAGAATTTGGGCTTGCTGCTATTGGAGGACTTTTCATTAATATGACAGAATACGAAGTAAATCCATTTGCTAAATCTAGTGAAGGTCAAAATGCACGTACAGCTCGATCAAAAGAAAAAGCCAAGAAACACCACTATGATATTTCTAGAGGTTCATCATCTTCAAGTAAGAGATTAAATTCTAGTAACTTTGAGTATATGAATCATCTGCTAGTACTCAAGGATATTATTATCCACCGGAATAACTTAATTTTCAACCTCCTCATGGTTATCCACCTCCATATGATTATTATCCATCTCAAATGTATCATTTACCATAAATGTATCTGCCACCACAAATGTTTCATCCTCAAACATATCTCAACTTCAAATGTTTCAAAAACAAATGCCTTAGAGATGAAAATAAAATCAACTTGACTCTCAAAATGAAGATAAAAAATTTGATCCTCATTATCATTCTATCATGTGATAAAATTTGAAATATATATCAATAATTGTAGTTGATGAAATTTAAAATTATTATATTTTTAAGTTTGTAATTTTATTAAATATAGATACTTGATATTTCACATATTATGTTTTGTTAACATTTAATTTGTCTAGAATTAATATTGAATATAAACTTGACCAAGAAAAATTTTGTGGATAAACCAAATATGAATGCTTTTTATAATCTAAATAAAATTGTGAATAATTTTTTTAAAAAATAAAAAACATAATGTCATAAACTATTTTTAAAATCATTGAATAAGAGTTTTTATAATTATAATTATTACATTTTATAATAAATTGTGCAAAAAAAAAAATTTACGAGCGTGATGACCGCAATGATCTCCGTTATATCTGAAACCGTAATAAACGCGACGCGACTGAAAACGTGATCGCGACCACTATTTAAATCCCTACTATAGTGGATAAGAGATGAGTTTCAGTCTTCAATATACAATCAATCCAAGCAGACATGGACTGACACCCATTATCTGAATCCCTACCAACAAATTTTGACATTATTGAACTCTTAGAAACAGCACACTCCATTCTCTGGCCATCAGCCACTTCATGCAAATGCCTTTGGGAAGCACCAATCAAATGCTTGAGAAGAAAGTTACTACTACCCTCATTTTCTCGCTCTTGTTTGTTACGTAGGAGACCAACAGAAGAATTCTGGCCTCTGTGAGGATTACTTGGAAACATGGTATCGTCCATGCACCTTGACAAACCTCAAGATGAACCAATTGGGTTAACCAAGCAAGAAGTATTAGATATTTTGGGCACGGTTGCAATAGATTTCACCAAACCAGTAGCTGGCAACAATCCTTCAGGCCAGTCCCATCCACTCTGATCTTCTGGAACCCTAATCTAAACCATCATAAAAACATCACCATCCAGTGTTCTTGCTGCTTCAAACACATGCCAATAAGAAATACAACTTTCAATCCCAAAGGTTGGAGCAACTTTTGAATGCTGTTACATGACAGCAGTTGGAGCAACTTGTAAGCATGAATCCACTCCAAATGGGTAATGCAAACATGTATTATAGGTAAGATGGCTACAAAACACAGTAAACATCACAGACATCAGCAAGTTACCTTACAAAATTTGGAGACAGATGTGTGAAAATAATGACATGAGCAAACAATACCAAGAAGTCCTGTATTGCTGAGAAGCACATACCTGCCTTTTTCATCAAATTAAAAAGAAAAGAAAGATGTTAGGTCATATGCAATATGAAAGACTTCTAACAAAAGCAGGAATTATATATCATGCACTCACCTGTACCCAAACAGAACATGTGAGGGCACCTACTTAAAATAGGTAATGACTGATTAGATATAGAAGAGTTTGATTCCTCAGGTATCTTCAGTGACAACTGGATATCTTTCCTATAGGGAATCCCAGCCTTTCCAGAACTGGTACCACAACAATCCCCTTTCAGGGTGGCAAAGTCCTTGACTTTCTCAATACTGGGAAGCATGTGATGATTGACAACTTTGGCCAGACCCAAAGTCTGAAGATTTATGTTAGATGCATGAAGGCTACCATGCAAAACTGAAACACTGCTACTGCTGGAACTTGATACCAATCTATATGGAACAAAAGAACAATTTGCCTCATTTTGTGTGTTTTTATTGCTCAGATTTTCAGATAGCAATGCACCAGAGGTTCGTGGAATTTCACTTTCAAAATCATTGATATTGACACTTCTAGCAGCATTTGATACTTTTTGGCTTGATAATTCCCGAAAATCACACTGTAAAAGTGATGGCAGCCCAGATAGAAGAGCTAGAAATGAATTTTCCATCTCAGAATGATTTGACTTATGGGAATTTAAGTTTGAATAGTTGGGAGGCAAGGAATCATGCCTTCTTTCATGCAATGCTGAACTTGAATCTTGAGTAGCATATTGGTGAAAATACTGGCCAGAATTCATCTCCATCTGTAGTCAAAAGCAACAATAGTTAAAAGAAAAGGCAGGAGGTCAGGAAAGCATATCAAAATCAAAAATCAAAACTCAAAAGTAACAACACATGAGTAAGTTTCCTTCAACAATGATGACTAAATCAGACAATAGAATCAGGAATAACATTTAAGAATTTTGCACACTCTAAGTAGCGAGGAAAAGGAAAACAAAAACATGAATGCAATGCATATATCATACCTCTGTAAGTAGAAATAAGAATTTATCAGTGTCCTACATGCAATTTTCCTACTCTATACCTACATTCATCCTTTCAGCATATCACGATCCCAAAAGACTTGGTTTCTAAGTGCAATTCTACTTCTCTCATCAATGAGATTTCAGACCACATGATTGATTACGATTAGCAGCCTCCCTTTAATTTGAACTAAATCTAAAACATCGGCCATTGGCTCCAATTCCCTTTGGTAGGAAAGGCCTATACTTCACCTGAGTGAAAACAAATGTGATAGAGAAATTCAATGTTCAAACACTCCAGAGCTGCACCGCGTTCAATAGATTGTCCACGTTCATTCCAGAAATACTATTTTTTTTTCTTTCCCCACTTATTTCCATGCACAAACAGACCTCAGAAACTGTTGAATGGCCACCATACGTTTCACCGGACAGAACTTAAAATAGCATAAAAAAACTATCGACATTGCAGGAATATCATATTCCAGATTACATTATCGTATCCGGATGTAAAGCAACTAATACATACAAAAGCTCAACCCCAAACAGAAAAACTAACATGAAGATTATCTTTCACAACGGCTTTTTTTTAGAATAAACATTGTAACTGGCAAAACAAGTAAATAAGCTTGCTCCATTCGATCGCTCTTCGCTATGATTTTAAAACATATATTTAAATATATGCGTTAACTACCTGATTTCGACGCTCCGGCGATGCCGATGATGAAGCCATTGAAGTCATCGATGACGGCAGTGTAGAATCAAATTTGATCCGCCAGGAGTTGTTATCCATCTCTAAATAGTCTATTAACCCTAACCTTTCTCTATCATAATCATCAAAATCACCGCGAAAGAACCCTAAAAAAAACCAGTAGAACAACTCTCAGCGACCGAAGAATACAATGTCCCTTCACACCTGAGCATTACAGTATCTAAACAGAATAAAGCGAACGAGAATCACTTAGGCAATGAAGAAAAGAAATGAATGAACCCTGAACCAAGAGGCAAAGAGCGAAAAGAAAAGAGGGCAAAGAAAAAGTATTAAAGGAGTTCAGAAACTAAGAAAATAAAAACGAGGCTTTGCTTTACAGACAGAAAACGAGAGAGAGCGCAACTGAAATGTATTACTTCGAGGGAAGGTTGACTGGACACTGACAAAATTGACGCGTGTATTATTTAAAATCACTGTCCACCGTTAGATTTATGATTTGATGTTGAGTAGGTGGCAGATGGAGATTGTGGGCCGTCCATTGCAAATACACTTGGGATGGGATTGTTGATTGGGGAAGAGAGAGAGAAAGAGAGAGAGTGTGAGACAGTGTGTTATTATCGCAATTCAGGGCATGTGCGCGAAAGATTGGAGAATGGAGTGGGACCCAAAAATTGGGCGAATGGGAGGAAAAGAATTGGTGGATTCGGAGTAGTAGGCAGATGTGGGTTTCACCAGATGATTGTGTTTGGTATAGTCTATTCCGAAATTGCTTAATTACAGTAAATATGACCCTTTATCCAACGTTTGGGGAGGAGAACCGTGTGCTTCTCCTGGATGGCGCGACTTTGGTTTTCTTTTTCTATTTGTTCCCTTTTCTTTCTGGGTCCATTGACAGTGAAGATTTGGGCCTAGTGAAATTTCTAATCAAGGCTTCAAAACACAGTGATTGACAACCCAATGGCAAACAAGGTTACGGTATTATAACGTACAAAATTAGGCGGATGATATTTTTATTCATACTCTTGGATTATTTAAAATTCAGACTTCTTAAATTAAAAAAACAAAGACCAGACTTCTTTTCATTTTTATAATAAATTAATATTTGTTATTATGCGTATTGCAGGTGATTTTTTTTATATAATTTCAATTAATAAAGTTATATTAATCATAATTTGTATTTATTAACTCAAGTATAATACTAATTTAAGAAGAGAGTGATTTTGATTTTTTTAAAACTTTTTAAAATTAAATTTCAATAAAGATAAGTGAAAAATGGCAATATAAGAACTATATAAGAAAATTTAAGCATAAACATATCTAATATATATATACCATATTATAAGATATAAAGTTATCAGATAAAATATGCTAATATAAACACTTATGTGGATAATCTTTTTTTATAACACGTAGGATAATATTTATATTATATTATTTATCAAGTAACTCTATTTAATAAATTATTTAAATTTAATGTGTTTGGATAATTATTTAAATTTAAATCAAAATATTAAAAATATTAAAAATTTTACATAAATTTTAAATTCAATATATATTAAATTATAAATTATCTTTCTTTTTTAATTTAATCATAATTGCAAATACATATAGGCTTAATAAACTTTTATTTACTGTCAAATAATTTTATTTAATAAATTATATAAATTAAATATTTTTATAACTATTTAAATTCAAATCAAACTTTATCAAAAATTAAAAATTTTACATAAATTTTGAATTTAAATATATTAAATTATAATTTTTCTTTTCTTTTCAAATTTAATCATAGTTTTACATATATATATGATATATATGTGTGTAAACTTAATAAATTTTAGTTGCTAAAATAAAAATCTCAAAATAAAAATAAAGGACTCATAAAATGCATGTGTCATCCTTTAAACAATGTTATTTTATTCATTATTATTAGAATTAAAAATTAAATAATACAATTTTTTTATTTGACGATTATGGTTTATTAATTTTGACAAAAATTGGTAAAAATTAGAAAGAATAATAACCACATCATACTCATGAATATGTAAATTCATTTTATGCATTTATTATTCTTTTTTTTCTTTTTTTAGTTTTAAAAATAAGTATGTGATGGTGTTGGATTTTTTTTTTGTTTTTATAATATTATTTCTTTTTTTTAGATTTCAATAACGAAAGGAAAATGAGAACACATTTAAATTGGTTTCAACTAAGTAATAGGTATAGTTCATTATTTTTATTCATATTCTATTTCTTTTTTTTCATATTCTATTTCTTTTTTTTTTCTTCTATTTGTTTGTTTCTTCCAACATTTTATTTGGTTTTATTTACATTATATGATATATGCATTTAGATTTGATTTAATCTAAAAAAAATTGGTTCATATGTTTATAATATATATATATATAGTTAAACTAGATATTTATTATGCATAAGTATAAGACATTTAAATTATATATACATTCTCAATTTATATATTTGGTCAAATCAAAATCTATAAAATATTAAAAATTTTACATAAATTTTAAATTTAAATATATTAAATTATAACTTATCTTTCTTTTTTAATTTAATCATAATTCCAAATATATATAGACTTACTAAACTTTTATCTTGAGTAAAATAATTTTATTGAATAAATTATATAAATTTAATATTTTTGGGTAACTATTTAAATTCATATCAAACTTATCAAAAATTAGGAATTTTACATAAATTTTGAATTTAAATATATTAAATCATAATTTCTCTTTTTTCTTTTTAAATTTAATCATAACTCTATATATATATATATATATATTTATTTATTTTTGTGTGTGTGAGCTTAATAAATTTTTATTTACTGAAATCAAAATCTCAAAATAAAAATAAATAACCCATAAAGGATTGCATCATCGTCTAACCAATGTTATTTTATATATTATTATTAGAATTATAAATTGAATAACACAATATTTTTTTTTTATTTGACGATTATGGGATATGGATTTTGACAAAAATTGACAAAAATTAAAAAGAATAATAATCGCATCATACTCATGAATAAATAAATTTATTTTATCCCTTTATTTTTATTATTTTTATTTTTTAGTTTTAAAAATAAGTTTGTGATAGTGTTTGACTGTTTTTCTTTTTTATAATATTGATTTTAGTTTTCTGTTTTTTGATTTCAATAATGAAAGGAAAATGAGCGCATATTTGGCCGAGTTTCAACCAGGTAATAGATATAGTTCATTATTTTTTATATTATATATATTTATTATTTTCCTCTATTTGTTTGTTTTTTCAGACTTGTTATTTGGTTTTATTTGTATTATATGATATATGCATTTAGATTTAATTTATTCTAAAATAAATTGGCTCATATGTTTATATATATATATATATATATATAGTTATAGTTATAGTTAAACTAGATATTTGCTATGCATAAATACAAGAGATCTAAATTATATATAATTTTCAATTTGTATATTTGGTTTATGTTCTAATAAAAAAACAACTTTGTATGGTAAAGTATATATGTAAAAAAATAAAAACTAATAAAAAGTAAATAGTTATGAGCAAATTAATAATTATGTTTTGTAGTTCAATCATATTATTATTATTATTATTATTATTATTATTATTTGATGTTTTATTTTTGGTTTAGCTTTATAAGATTTAATAATTTAAGAATATTTTGCTAATATAAATGTCTTTTACAATTTAATCAAATGATATATATTTTTTATACATTCATATCAACATATAAACAATTATTAATCTTAATTATTTTATTTTTAATAAGCCAAAGTAAAATTTTATTAAAAGTAGTGAAACGATTATAAATATTCAATCATAATTAAGAGTACAATAAAACACAAATAGAATATAAACCCTAAATAAATTGTACCAACATCACGTGAGGAACCCAAACGCGTAAATAATAATATTTCTAACACTAAAATATATATATATATATAGACCAATAATAAAAATCTTGATTGTTTAAAACTGAATTTTATTTTTTTGATCGAACAAGAAAAAACGAGTAGCAAAATTTTCATTGTTTAGTAATTGAATTAAAAAAATAATTTTTATGAAAAAGAAAAACTTTTTATAATTCTTTGAAATTTTACAAAAGCTTTGACTTTGATAAAGTATTATAATATGTGTAGACTCTTATTTAGTTATATCTTAATATTTATGAATGTATGATTATATACAATAAATCAATAAATGTGTGCATTTTTTTTTTATTAAAGTAAGTAATATAAAAAAATTTAAGGTTAATAAAATTTTTTTAATTGTTAAAAATAATAAACAAATCCTGTGCATGGCACAGGTTAAAAATCTAGTTTAAAAAAAAATAATAAAAGATAATTGGTCGAGAATTCAAGTATAATCATTTATAAAAGTTCGGTCTTTGGCTACCTCCAACCAAGAAGTCCATCCAATCCACTATTTTTTTCAAGTGTGCAAATATCTTTTGCAGCTTAGGTATAAGCTTTAAAATTTCCAAATCAAATTAGTTTCTAACACAATCACAAATTCTCATAATGCCTCACCTCTGGACCACTCACAAATTCTAAGAACTTAAAATTGTTTTTCAAACAAATTGATCTCTCAAAAGTTGGAGGTTCGTTAGTTAAGTGAAAAAAAAAAAAAACACATACAACCAAGTTGGGTATTTGTCAATTTAGTAAAAACAGAATATAAGACAAATAAATGAAGAATTAAGGCTCAGGTGTACTTGGATTCCCTTGAATTGTTGAGAAGATGAATATATAACTCGTTTGTGCTTTTTTTTTTTTTTTCAAATGTGTGAAATGCTTCTTTTATAATTAAAATGAGTTTGTAGCTGGTGGAAAAAGTTTGAGTAAAACCCAGAACTTTGTTGCACTTAAGAAACTAACGTTGGGTCTCGACCTATTTCAATTTGAAAATGTAGTCGGAACTAGTGAAGTAAATATGCTAGAATAGAGTTAACTGAGGGTCCAGAAGTAGACATACTCTTGAAAGAAGCTTTTAGTTCAATTTGCGTGCTGGAATGAGCAGGGTTATTTCTGTGCTGTTGCAGTTTGTAGTTTCCTGTTGTAAGTCCTTTTTCTATATTTTCCTTTGGTTTGTCCAAATTAAAGTGTCACCACCCATTGCCATAAATCAAAGAATCGCGGACCATAAGTGGGTTCTACATTCACATTCTTGCCATGGAGTCAAGCTACAACTACTGGAAAATGGCCTTCTATTCCCAGTACAGGAATGAGCCTGAAAATGGCAGTCAGATTCACGTGAAGATGTGTAATGTTATAGTATTAAACGACTCGCATAATCAGATTGAAAGGATTTGTTTTGAGGGATTCATTACACATGGACTTTGGTTAAAATTTCTGTGCCATGCTGATTCCTTTCATGTTTTTGCGACTTTCTTTCCACAACCAAATGTAAGACTCCATTTTCTGCTTGTTGATCCCATTTCTTTAGAGGAACCTTCAAAAACTAATAAGGCCTTTCAAATTTTCTTATACTCACCGCATTAAAATATTAATAGTAATTGTAATGAGACTTTGACTTAATAATAAAAGAAATATTGAGATTTTTAAGTTTAAGTATGTTGCATAAGTTTGATTTAATTTTATATTAAAAATTATATTTAATGTATTATTTATATATTATTAATGAATCAAATAATTTAATTTTATTAATGTGTGACTTAGATAATATAATTTTATTAATGAATAAATTTTTTTAAAAATATTAATTTTTTTATATATCTATTTTAAAAATTGATGTTTACTAATTAATAAAAATGATATTATTTAATTGATTAATAATGTATAAAATTTATATAGGCATTATCGAATTGATCTCCTGACATGCCTTGAAAGAATAGGTAAACAATGCATTAAAAAAAAAAAAAAGGAGTAATTTTGGGAAGACAGCTTCTACAGAAGCTTCTCCTTTTAATTGCTCCCAAGCCTCAATCTCAATTCTCTGATCTTTCTGAAGGTCGTTAATCTGAAACCAAGACAAGAGACTCAAATTTAAGAGTGATGATCTTGATGATCAACAGGTTGTGTTCATGGAAATCTTATCAAGGTTTTGTTTTATATGGTTTTTGTTTTATTTTTGCAGTTTTGTTCTCATTTTGTTATGGTTTTCTAGGTTCTAGAAAATTGTTAATCTTGAGGTGATTTCAAAATCTTTGCTGTGAAGATTGTAATTGAGGTTTGATAATTCTTTATATGATTTTGCTGTGAAGAATGGTCTCTTTTATCTATCCTTGATTTATTGATAATTGAGTCTCTTATAATATTGAAAAATTTAATCAAAGTTTGTGGGTTTTTAATGTTTCAGGTTAGAGAATTTCTATTGCAGAATATTAATTATAGTGTTTGTGTATTTGCACAATACTCAAATTGCAATTAATGCTCCTTCAGTTTAGTTGGTTCTACTTCCTTCGTCACCTTTATCATTCTATTATTATTTTTTTAAATTCTACTATTTTTTTGTTGTTTCATAACTTGTTGCATCTTTTTGATAAATTTTCAATTCCTTATTTGGCAACATATCTATTTTTGTCTGGGAATCGATGATTTCGCTGGGATTTTTGGCTAGAACTGGATATGTTACCGGTTGTAGGGCCCCCTCCCCATCTCACTATACAAGTGTAATCAATTGAAATAGGAATTTCAAAAAATTAAAAGGAGAAAAGGAAGATATAAATTGAATCTCAATCTACAGTCGATTAACTAAAAAAAGCTTTAAGATGCTCGTCATGAATATGCATTGCAATAGTTTACAGCTGAAAAGAGTGCCTATGCAGAAATGGTGGCACATGAGAGATCAGACATAACATAAATGTAAATAACTTCTATTGTCTTTAACTTAAATTTTAATAGAACATTTCTCTCGCCATAAACACTGTATTGGTCTTATTGATGACTAATTGTGATTCCCTTTTTTGTGGTTTTCTGGCATACATGTTCTGAAGTAGTTTACTCTGATATTTAGGTTTTGATGATGATCTTATTCATGTTAGTGTCTTCAGTAAAATGATGAATCAGTATAGCACATTTATATGATAGATGCTATAAAATATTGAATTGTCACCTTTCATATGTCTGGCATTGGATTATACAAAATGGATTAGATCCCCACATAGTCAGTGTTACCATTTTAATAAAAAATAGAATGAATTCAAGTATACATATAAAGTAACAAAAATTTTCTCTTTGGAGCATTTGTATTGTTATACAACTGATTTTGAATTTTTTATTGGCTTGATTGTTTTCATCACTCACCCCTTGGTTACTGTTTCATCTGCCCTTATTAACTCTTCTAACACGTTGTGTTTCTTAATACAGTGTAGCAAATGAGCTTGGTGCAGGCAACACAGAAGGTGCCAAATTTGCAACTGCAGTATCTGTGATTACCTCTCTAGCAGTTGGATTTTGCTTTTGGTCAATTATTATGGCCATTTATGAAACACTTACAATGATCTTCACCTCAAGTTCTTCTGTTATTACAATGGTTAATAAGTTCTCAGCCTTACTGGTATTCACCATTCATCTCAACTGCATTCAACCAGTTCTTTTAGGTCATAAACTCAATAAGAAATTGCTATTTGGTATCATGATCAATAGTTTGTCATATTATTTGATCATTGTGCTTTGTTTTCAGGTGTCGCAATCAGATTTGTTTGGCAAGGTGTAGTGGCATTTGTAAACATAGGTAGCTATTATATAGTTGGAGTTCCTCTTGGTGTCTTTTTGGGACGGCTTCAATTTGGCATCACGGTAAGTAACATTATTGTGTCAAAAGTTTTTGGCAAAAAAGTCTTCTCATTGAAAATTATAAAAAATGACAGTACTCGAATTAGCTTATATACTTGAAACGTGGTTTTGGTTCATATCTCTCTATTATATTTTGAACCTGATGCTCGGTCAGGGAGTCTCGGACCTCTTCCTTTTGCCTTGGCCTTTAGGCTCATATCAACACTTCTGGAGGAAAGGAATAGCTTTCAAAAGATGAATCGGTTGCAGCAGGGATTGGACTAGCTTTCTCGAATTTTTTCGATATTAGATCTCTTTAATTTGCATTGCTATAATCTGATTTTACATATAATGATTTTCATCTTGATTTTATTTAAGTTTTAGATGTTCACATCAGTAATTAGCATACCTTATTGTAACTGACACAATAGGTAGCTTGAGGAATGAGATTTTCTGATAGAGACTATTATTCAAGCTCAAAACTTTTTTGAACTCTGTATCTCAATCTAAACTTTAGCGTTATAATATGCAAAAGTGTATGTTATACTACTAAGCAGTAGTTATTTCATTCTTTTTCTTTGTTGACTATATGCAGTTCTTAGGAATAAAACAAAGGCAGTTACATAATTCTAGTAGACAGAAGGTTAGATGAAATCAATGGATGCAGCCGTTAAAGATTCTATATACTTATTTGTTCTGTCATTACTTTTCTCTTTTGATTTTCCTATTCCTTGAAAAGCAAGGCATTCTAATAGCTTGGTATTGAGTGATGACTCCTATTTGTAACTATGTTGATAATGCAAAATGACATTCTTTCCTTTGGTGAAGAACTTTACCTGGTTAACAGAAAATAGCTGTTATCATTAAAATTCTAGCATTTCATTATTTATGACCTCATTTTCTCCTTCAGTTTCTTTTGATTATTTCAGTACTTACCTTAATAGCATGTTGGTGTGTGAGAATCCCAGACTCTGCTTTTGCTATTGTCTCTTGAAATCACTGAATAAAGGTTTTTTTTTCCCTGTAAGTTGTTCGAAACAATTCGAAAATGATTGCAGTAAGGATAGTATTGGAAGGTGCAATCTGCTGCAACACTTCTAGTTTAGTTATTTAATGTTATCTTTTTCTGATTTTCAGGCCATGTTAAGGTGCAGTCAGCCCATACCTTGTAGTACCTTCAACAATGATGGGTCAATACGTGCATACTCGGTTTCTGCTTTTCTGCAATACTGACTTTCTCTTTAACTGGAAAAAGATTTGTACTGTGATTCTCACATTGAATTTGCTATAGGTTTGTTATGATTAGAGTAAGGGTGCTAAAAATCACAACCCTTCAACAGCAAAGACATACATTTTCCTGCACTTGCCTCAGGTACATTAACATGCATGATTTCATACTTGATCATTTATTGTATTTATTAAGCTTTTAGTGGAAACACCATAATAAGAAATTTTCATTGGTGAATGCAATCTGTAATGTCTTTTGGAATATAGGAATCTGAAGTTAAAGGTAAGCCAAGAGTCGAAACAAGTGATAGAAAGTGAAGGATGACTTTGATTAGAAAATTGTTGAACCTAGAGGAAAGGATTTGCCATTTTTTTGTCGCCATTTATTCTTCCTTTCCACAACTAGGATAAGAACAAGTTTTTTTACAATAGGAATGTTTCGCCTTGGGTCATTTATCTCCTTTAATTTATGTTTAAATAATTTTTTTATAATGTCTTGATTGCTTGATTGCTTAAAGACTGTAATTTAGTTTTTTTTTACATATATTTTGATATAAGGCAGAATGCTTTTGAAACAAAAGTTTTCTTAAAAATTGTTCAATGTTCAAGGCATTAAATACTTGAAATCTCTTTCCTTACATTGGTTATTTTAATTTGCAAGCGCATTTACAAATGTAGCTAAAGATATTTCTTATAAGTCACAGTATATAGTTGAATACTGAAACCTGTGTGCTTTTAATGGTCATCTTATTGTTTTCAATTGTTGTCCAAATTCTCTACATTGTTACATCAATGTGTGAATTTTATCAGAAAATGATCGAACAGTTTGCAAATGGTTATACACACATAAATATAAGAAATTAAACATAAGGCTTCAGTAATCAATTTGATAAATTTTTTCAGGTTTGCTATCTTTGACTGTCGGTTCAAGAGATAATGCATGGTAAGTATTGAAAAAACCAATTACTTCTGTTTCACATGCTTTTAATTTTGGTTCTGAATGTTCCAAGATAGCTTCATATGTGAGAAACTGCATTCCCATTCCAAGATGCTTATCCAGTAGGTAAAATTCTCCAACCAATTTTACTTTTCGATTCCTATTGTTGTATCTTTCATGTTTTGCATTGGCTTGGATGTTGAACCTTGATATGGTCACAGTTGATGGCTAGATGCAGTTGATTTGAGAACTATATCTGTTTTCTCAGCTCTTTCCTATTCTATTTATATTTTTTCTGAGATTATTTCTCAATAGCTTATCAAATACTAATTTTAACTGTTGGCAATAGCTTTTTTTTTTTTTAATACATGTCCGAAAAGTAATTTGCTTTGGATTGGTAGCTATAGCATACATTGCTCTTTCAGTCTATTGTCAATACTGATTTTATGAAGACATGTGTGGTAAGGTTTCCAATTTAGAAAAAGATCTAAGAATTGTAGACATTCCATTTTATTGGAAAAATCTTTTTGAGTTTGAAATAAATTTCAGCCGTAAAATTGGGTTTAAATACAAAAAATAAATTTTAAGTCCAAAGGTTAAAAGCCCAAGAACTTTAATATCAATTTTGATTTTGTTTTTATTTTTAGTTTTTTGTTAGTTTGGTCATGGTCAAAATAAAAAAAAAATATAAAGACACAAAACCAGAAGGAAGAAAAAGGTAGGAAATTGGCAAATTATCCTTGGATTCAGTTTGGATTCTGAAACTTAATGATCTAATATTCTTGAGAGATTCTTGAGCCTCAATCTATTGCGAAAAGGAAAGATTACGAAAAATACAATCTTGCTAGATCCGGTGGAATATTTTGTTTTCGAAATTGAATTGATTTTATCCCTATTAAAGGCTCCAATTTGTGATCATAGGGGGACAGAAAAGAAGCAGAAGGGAATCATAGGGGGGCGGACGATAGCAATTCATGATCAGAAACCACTGAAAAGCAAGCAATGCAATTTTGGGTAGCCTCAAAGATCAGAAATACAACAATACAATTGAAAAAGCGAAAGCAATTCAAAGGTGGCCACAAACAAGGATTGAAACAAAGGCCAAGTTTGCAAATCCAATAATCAAGCAAGAGGAACCAGGTAGCTGAGATCACAAATTCACAATAAAAAAACAGAATCGCCTAACATACAGTTCTACAGTAGCTAGCCAATCCAGAAACTCAGTTAAGGCCGTTCCCAGCAAACAGTATTAGCCCAGATAATTGAGCAAACGGGTAAAACGCAAACAGGGGGTAAAACGCAAACAAGCATAGAACCAAAAGATAAGGAAATTTGGGCAGTGAATAATTTCAAGCAATTCAGTAGCTAGTTCTCATCCGAATTCAACAACCCAAAAAAAAAAAAAAAATCTAGCAAACAATTCAAAGCCAAAATCCACAAAACAAATAGCAAAGAATCCACCAACAAAGCCTCAACTCAGAATCGACAATTAACAAAACCTAGAAAAGACCCATTCGACAGTAGAAAAATAAGCAATTATAGTGCAAAATCAACAAACACAACACAAGCACATATAGAGAAAACACATCAGATAGAAGCATTCAACAGCAAATTTTTTTATTTGGTTTCAGAGGAGGCGGTGGCTGTTCTTGGTTTAGGGTTCGGTTACAAAAAGGGGGAAAGAGGAAACAGGCAATAGTTGGGCTCTATTGAAGTTTTCAACAGAGACAGAAACCGCATCATGGGAGTAAAGAAAAGGAAAGAAGTTTGCAGGTTTTTGGAAGCGACGAACGGCGATAGTAGCAGTGAGGTGTTGCCGAGGTTTGGGTTGCTACCGGGTTTTGATTTGGGATTTAGAGGAGAATGCAGAAGAGTAGGAAAAAATTTAGAAGGAAAAAGAAGGAAGCTGGATGGCGGTGATCAGTTGTTGCCTACGGCAATTGGTAGAAGCTACGACGGGCTTCATCTGCAACTAGGTTCCGGGACTGTTGAAGAAACTTAAGAGGGACGGGAGTAGACTTTGTAAAGAAAGAAATAGCAGTGAGGAAAAGAGTGAAGTTTGGGCTATTAAACAAAATAAAACGGCATAGTTTATTAAAGAAGAACTAAGGCTGACCCGCAACCCATGCCACCCGCGTGATACTCACAGTGGCCCGACCCAGTTTGAATTTTTTTATGCTCTGTTTTCTATTTTTTTATTTAATTTTTGTTATTCTTTGCTTTTATGATATTTTTATTTGCATGATTATTTACATAATTATTAATATATTTACATGATTTATTATTTATTTACATGATTTGTTATTTGCATGATATATTAAATGTTTTTGTGATATTTTTACATATTTGATATTTTGGTATGATTGTTGCATGATATATTTTTTTTAATTTTGCATAATATATTGGCATGATATGTAATATGATTGTATGATTGCATGATTTGGTTCTTAATAAAATTTTTGTATGACCATGTTGTGTAAATAAATAAAAAGGATTGAAATTGATTTTTGAATGATTTATTTATATGATAAAAACCATCTTTGATTAAGGTTTAGAAAGATAACATATAATTAATTTGATACTAATTTTGGGCATAATGAGGTGCTAATACCTTTTTATACGTAACTAACTCATTGACCTTGTTTTATTGATGTAGACAAGAACATATTCTTTTTAGGGATCTTTAGTTTAAGTTTAGAACAACCTTAAAATGGATATATTCACATAGGTGACAAATCACACATAGATAAAAAATATTGGTGGTGACTTTATAGTTTTAAGTTTAATGGGTAAGTTATCCAACCTAAACATTATAACAGTTTGGTAACTCCATTTGAAAAATTAAAGAGTTAAGTGATTAGTTAGTTATATGTTATTTTAAGCATTGTTTTGATAGGTTTTATTATATAATTATTTATGATTTTCATGTGGACTAACCTAGTTTATAATTTTTTTTTTTTTTGTTTTGTAGATTTTAATTTTATGTGTACTAATTTATTTGATTATTTGGCATGTCTTTTTACACAAACCACTATTGCATTTATGCATAAACTTTAAACCCTGGTTTTGGACCCTAGTTTTGGCATTTCTTAAAAAAGAGCAAATACCTATACTTTTGTGAAGTGATAATCTCCATGTGAACTAATAAAAACTCTCACTCAAATTGAATCTTTTCCATTGGAACTTATAATGTCGAACAAGAATTGTGATGCCTTACTAGTCTATAATGGACAATGATATAGGGAACAATTTGGAAACCTTTGAGTGTTGGACTTTTAAACCCAGCATATAAATAAATTGTAAGGATCTAAACCTAAGTTGAAGCTCTGCCCTTCTTTTTACTAGAAAACCTAACATAGGACACATGATATGACATTTATTATTTTGCTTATAAATTTATAAATTGTTTCTTGTATATATTATGTGCATGCTAACCCTTTATATTATTCTTTTATATATTATATTATTTACTAATCTTTTTTTTTTTACTATATATGCATGCATTTATATCATTAAATCCTTTTTATTGCATTCATGCCTACATGTGTTCATTCATGCATAAACTAAAAATAGAATAGTTTCATGAATATGCCTCTAAATATGCACTCTAATTGTTGTAAATCAAAGTTCAAGGATAACTCAAACTTTAAAAATCTAAAGCACTACAATACTAGATATCAAGTTAGAATTATAATAAAAGAACAAGCTCTTGGCTTTCAAAAGATGAAAAGGGCACAAGAAGAGATAAATGGACAATTAGAAGATATGGTTGAATTGCTAAATAATCTGAATAAAAGGAAAGCAATTGTTGCAAAGATTGATGATCCAATCTATCCACTTGGTTTTGGCCCATATTCCAAACAGACATCTCAAAGGGCCAACATCAAATGCCCTTTAAGGTAAGCTACCTCTACATGTATTCTGACATGTTTTTAATTGCTGCTTTCACTCACATGGCTCTTGTTTTTTATCCAACTCAAGTTTCTATTTTGGATGATCCAAAAGAATAAGAGAAACTAAAGACAAACACAGTAAAAATCAAGAAAGGGTTTAGATTTTAACAAAAAATGGATTTTATTGAAGAAAGGTTTTGAGTCTTTGAAGGGATGGATTTTTATAGTTCAATGGATGTTTGGTTCCTAATGTGGTTATTTTACCTAAGTTTAAGATGCCTGAATTCAAAAAATATGATGGAACCAAATGCCTCGTAATGCATACCACTTTGTATTGTAGCAAGATGGTCGCATATACACATGATGAAAAGTTGTTTATTTATATTTTTCAAGATAGCCTCACTAGATCTGCTTCAATGTGATATCTTTAATTGGATAGGTCTCGCATATGTGGTTAGAGGAAATTAGCTAGGGCATTTATCATACAATACAAGCACATAATAGATTTGGCTCCGACCATTTGCCCTTACAAAAGCATGGAAAAGAAAGACACTGAAAGCTTTAAGGAATATGCCCAGAGGTGAAGTGATGCTGCTACCTAAGTTCAACCATTGCTCACTAATAAAAGATCATGGTTCTATTTGTCAATACTCTCAAAGTCTTATTTTATCAAAAGATGATTGGAAATCTCATTAAAAATTTTATTGATATTGTGATTTTTTAGGAGATAATAGAGAATGCAATCAAGAATGAAAAACTTAAAAGAAGTGGTATAAATAATGCAAAGAAATATGATCTGTCAAAGAAAAAAGAAGGAAATGCTCAAGTTGTGATTAAGACAAAAAGCTAGAAGTTTCACCCCGTATCAGCTTTATCCAATGTACCCACATTATTACCCTTCTATAAACAACTTCTCCCAAAATTCTTATCTTTGTTAACCTGTGTAGCAATTAAGCTTTCATCCTCAAATAACTGCCCGTGCCTCTGTTACTCAATTTGCTACCTAATGAAGGAGTAAACAAAAAAGATCAAGGAATAATCAATAGAAAATTCCAATCCCAATTCCTGACCTCTTACCTTTACTAATAAAACACTAATTCTTCACCCTCGTGCCTTTGAAAAAAATCACAATTCCATCAACAAAAAGCTATAATCCGAATGGTAGATGTGATTATCACATGAAGGTAATTGAACACTCAATTGAAAGATGCAAGCAATTGAAAATGAAGATAAAAAAACTCATCAATAATGACACTTTGACTATGGAGCTTATAGAGCAATGGAAATTTGCTTTACAATAAGCTTTTTTTTTTTGGATATGAAGTATCAAATAATTTGTAGAAGATTTCAGAATTTTGAATTTTTTGTCTAAGTTTTACTTTGACATATGCATGAGTTTTTGCCTAAGTTTTGCTTTCAATTTTGTTTGCATATGAATTCTTGCATTGCATGTGAAAATAATCTTGAGGAAATTAGTAATTATTGTCAAGAATGAACATACCCAGTTATAACTAGTTTGTACTCCAATTCAATTTAGAATTACATCATTCTAAAGCTTGATTTCTCAAATCTCACAAACTTGATTTTTACTTGACTTAAAGGGATTTTAATATTAGTAATCTT